GGGCCTTGAAAGTATCCTTGAGACGTTGACGTTTCGGGTACAGTTTCGTTCCTCGTTGCTACGCCATGTACTAGAAGCGTTTCTGGGTAAAATGACCCACATAGCGGTGGCCTATTACTGGATTACTTCTCTCTGTGTGCTTGAATAGCATTCCTTCTCTCAAGTGCATTCATGAACAAACGATCTACTAAAAGTTCACAACATCTGCGACTAGTGGGGACCTCGATTTCTCAACATATGTGCGTAGTTGTCGAATGCGCCACCCATACCACTCGTCGGCCATCGCTTTCGCTCAGAGTTAAAACAGTGACAAAGAGTCCGTGTTCGACGTGAAGCGACACTACACTACGTGTCTGTCGCACCTGCATCATCATAGTTCCGTACTTGTCTTGCTGCCAAGCTTTGAAAATCGCTGGTGCGGGTGACCGTTCGGGCGCCTTCGGCTTGAAAGGAAGTTGGGCTGACGCGCCATCGTGGCCGGTGCCGTCCTCGTGGTCGTCTCCTTCGCCCTCTCGAAATGCTGAGTCTGCGACGGTATTCGTTGCCAGCAAGCGAAAATAGTACCGTCGTGTCGGTGTATCTCCGTCGGTGTGATGTTGGACAGCAGAGAGTGATCCGGTTCTGTGTGTGTGAGCTGTGAGCCGTGTGAGGCTTGCTCCTCTTTCTCTCTCTGTCTTGCCTGTTTTCCCTCCCATCGCCTCGGGGGCGGAAGGCAACCAGTAAGACACAGCCCAGTACGACATCAGCCATTCGACTGCACATGGGATCGGCGTTAAGGGCGCGGGATCGCAGTACCTCCTCCGAAAAATCCAGGAAACGCCTGAATATCTCAGTTTTCCAAAGTTTAACTCCAGTACGACACTATGATCGTAAATTAGCCGTCCGTTGACCCCCCCTCATGCACAGTGTTAGTATTTGAGATTGTAGCCCTTGCGATACCCTACAGATTAGGGGCCCGTGATTTTCCAAACGACTCTTGTATCATCGAGATCGGTGAGCTACAAGCAGGAGTTTTCGAAGCTGCTGGGAGGTCCGATTCTGAGACGCTTCAAGCACCTTTGCTTACGGCTAGACCTGCATGTAAGTGACCCCAGGCATTCAAATCGACCATGGCGACGAGATGGATATGTGAGGGAAAAACTGCGCTGAAGTTCGCGGCCCCACACACTCACATAGGCGGTGATTCGCTGTCGCTGTGTGCTTGAAGGGTTTCCGAATCGGACTGCACAGCAGCTTCAAAAAGCCTGCTTGTAGCTCACCGATCTCGATTATACAAGAGTCGTTTGGAAAATCACGGGCCGCTAATCTGTAGTAGGTCCCAAGGGCTACAATCTCAGGTACAAACATTGTGCGCGAGGGGAGGTCAGCGGACGGTTAATTTGCGATTGTAGTTTCGGACTGGAGGTAAACTTTGGAAAACTGAGAAATGCAGGTGCCTCTTATTTTTTTGAAGAGGAGGTACTGCGATTCCCCCCGCGCCCTTGACAGAGGCGGTTGCAACAACACGTTACAACATAGGATGTGAAAGAGGGAATCATCCTCCCCGGTCGTTGGGAGATTTGTGACCACTTACATTAGCCACGTCCACATTATCTCTCCCCGTTTCGCAAGAGCCTCTAATCTGTTCCTTCGTTTGCTCTCGCCCGCTGCTGCGCTCTTACCTCCCTCCTCTCGCTCCATCGAAGAAGATACCGCTTCACCGCCGTTTTCATCTCGATATTCCTGATCGCCGCCGGCGGGTTCGACCGTTGCCATGCCTGAAATCAACAATAATCGCAAGCATAGATAGAACGATTTATTTTCGCGACCGACCGCCGGCTAACCGACGTAGTCAAGTAGATTTTCAGCTGAACGTCTCATTGGTCAACGGGGCGACTACCTTATACACAAGATAACACACGCCGGTCACAAATATTAGGGCTTCTAAAGATATCCACCGCGGGCAGGATGTTGTGTGACGGTGTGGCATGTTCCGTCTCCCTATTACTGATGCGAGCGATAATTCAGTAATTATTTTTTCATTTTGTGCTCATGTTAACCCGTAGCACTACTACCACCGCGTGTGGTAGGTTGTGGGGTGGGTGTTGCCCGGCTGTTTGGTGTGTAACCTTCCGTCCTACATAGGCTTACGGTAGGTAATCTTCGGCCTGCTGAACCCTCGTTGCCCACGTGTTGTAGTACGGCGTACCCAAGCATTGTTCATCGCTCTCAAACAGTTCCTATGAGACGTATTTGCTCCACACCAAGGTTGGGGAAACTAGGAGAATCCTGGGGATACGTGATCGCTATTTAACCCCACCTCAGCATCAGCGCTAAATAAGTAGAATACTGTCTGTTGTCTGAACTGAATTTTATCAACCGTCCAGCCTTGCGCAAGCAATAGTAGCAGCAGCCCTACACCCAAATACCAAAACTAAGGTTGATTGTCCTTCCCCCCGCCCTCCCACGATTCTCTCCGAAGTAGAAATGTTTTGACCGCAATCTCTTTGTCCTGAGAAGCTACAGTAGTGTTATGCGCAACACACAAGAGTTAGCTCAAAAAAAGTTTGAAAGCCATAAAGAAGATTTTGATAAAGCTGTTTTAAAAGTACGTAGCGCTACATTAGAATTATCTGCAGCTGAAGATAGAATTGAACAAGTAAATAAATACTTAAAGGTTTTCGAGGATACTGTTTTACTAGAAAAACAAACCCGCGTTAGATATCAGACTGTTACTGTACAGTGGTACTGCTGTGGTCCAGATATCAAATCCCAGCGGTTGCCAATTATTAGACTATCCTCGTCGCGAACCTTTTCCAAGCGCTGATGAGGATCTGAGGATCTCTCTGATACCCCGTCGGTCGTCTTCTCGCGCTCCCGTAAATACGTCTTCAGCCTCTCGCTTCAGATAGCCAGCCCCTCTTCAGAAAAATCGCGGATTCCTCGTTGCGGACCTGACAACAAGAACATTAGTAACGTACTGCCCCGATAGTTTGAATCGAAGCAGCCTGCCATAATGCGGTGAAAAAGTCGCAGGAGCTCCCGAAAGGTGATTTTCCAGAGGAGAACCAATATTTCTCTGCAACACCAACCAGCCAATCAGCTCACAGTTCACATCATGCAATATCTATGGCGTGGTGCCGGAAAAACGGCATGGTCACCGCTGCAGCAGCCGTGTGTCGGCAGCAGCTGTCACAGAGCAGCAACGGCAATCAATCGGTCCCAGGGTGCTCACGTCGTCGCGCGTGAAAAGGGGGTATCGCAGTGGTTTTTGCAGTTTTGTGGACAGTACGGTGGACACACGCAGCACACTTGGACACACGCAGCTGTCGCAGTTTATTATAGTAGCGGATCCTCATCAGAGATCACCGCAGTGCATCAGTGCCCATGCGGGCGGCCGATGCATGGCTTCTGTGGCCGAGGAATCGGTGAGGAAGGTTTTGGGCGGCAGAGGGAGTGCACAGATTGTCAGAGGAGAACGACTACAGGAAAGATCGGCACCGGCACAAGTCCCATGGAGGTTGACAGGAGTAGCGACAACGAGGACATTAACAGCAGCAGCAGGTGATGATTGTGATTTACAGCAGTCAGCAGCAGCAGCAGCAGCAGCAGCAGCCATCGGCCGAACGCGTGCTGTTGAGCTGTTGAGCAGGAAAGCGTGCACCACGATGTTACATGTACATTGCATGTCCTTGCCGTCGTCTAATTCTTGCCAAACAACAGCAGCGTCAGCATGCCAGGAAAACTCACTGAGATTGTCCGCACAAGGCTGCTTGTGTGCTTTTATTATTAGCATCGACCGCGCTAACCGGCTGAGCTGACCAATGAAAAGACGTCAGTCTCTGTGCGGTTGTGGGTGTGTTTTTTTTTTGGTCATGACAAAAGATCGTCAGTATGTGTCGGTGTTGTGTGTAATTGTAGTGAGCGTCAAAATCCAGGTGAAGACTCTCGCTACTGCTGTGCATCTTTTGGCACGCAACTTGCGCCTGAAGCAGTTCGCATGCCGCGCTGCTGAGGTGATTCTCGTTGTTCAACGCTGATCGAAAGTGAACTTTGTACGTTCAGCAGGGGACTCTGGTGTTTACGGTTCGCAGTTGAAAAACATACAAATAGACGCAGTCGTGATATTCTGTTGCCTTGTTTTTATTCAGCGCAAATTGTAGCTGCTGGCCTGCGTGCAGTCTCTCGGCGGTAGGTGCGAGCACACTCGTTCTCCGGGAAATAAGCGCATGTTGTGTTGAGCACAACGGCATTTTTTCTCACGTGGGTGTATTTGCCAACAACCTGCCCTGACATGTCACAATTCCCTCGTCTCTTGCACAATTTGTCGCGCAGGACGAGGCAACCGGCTGGGGGGAAAGAGTCAGAGACTGCAAGGAAGGGGAAACGGCCTCAACGCACCGCGGGGGGGGGCGGCGCAGGTGNGTTTTGTGCAGTACAGTCGACCCCGCTTTAAGGACGTACATGGGTTTTGTGCAGCACAGTCGATCCCGCTTTAAGGACGTACATGGGTTTTCCAAAACGTCCTTAGAGCGGGGATGCGTCCTTTAAATTCAGGGGACGATAGCTCACCATCCCCGGGATCAATGAAGGCATGCTNCAATTTGTCGCGCAGGACGAGGCAACCGGCTGGGGGGAAAGAGTCAGAGACTGCAAGGAAGGGGAAACGGCCTCAACGCAC